TTTATATTAGTAACCTCTTAAAAACGATAAATATGTTTGTGACTCATCACATAAGTACATGATTGATAATTGTATTTTATTAATGTCATCGTTTTATTTCTCATAGAGATTTATACTCGTCAAACTTAATACAATATTAACTTAATAGTAAATATAATATTATTATTTTTTAACTTAAATAATTTTCAATATATACAGTGGAAGAGTACCAATAGCGTCATAGATCAAAAATTTATATTTTCTTTGTGATATTTTGTAACTCTATATTGATAAAATAAGTATTCTTATAGATTATATTTTATTTTTTATTTTAGTTTTGCATGGTTTTGTATATTTTTAAACTTTCAAATTGAGGTTTCTATAACCTTTCTAATTTTTGTTTTTCCAATTTATATACCTTCTTTATTTATTATTCGTCTTATATTTATTTTAATTGACATTTTAATTCTATATGTATTATTTGTTTATTTTATGGCTTATGACATTTCTATATTTCATCTTGAACTTTGGTTCTTAATTATTATTATTGATAATTATAGAAAATTTACTTTTTATTATTTGATTAGTAACTTGACAATTATTTTCCATTTTAAATTTGATTTTTTTAATTAATTTTAAGTTTTGACACGTTCTTCATCTTATCAATATTGGATACATGTCGCGATCTCGTGAGTTATAATTTTGCTTACATGTCATGCTGATATAAAAACGTATTGCATTAAATATTTTTGATTTTAAAATTTATAACGCCTATAATTTGATAAATGTAATTAGATACTAAATTACGACTCGTACAAATATTTAAAATTTATTTTATTATTATATATTTTAATATATTTTATTAAATAGTCAATTTATTATGTTTATCTCATACTAAAATTGTCTCATACACGTTATTATATTAGCAAAATCACACTTATGAATATGGCTTTTTTTTTTGTCTTCAACTATTTAGATAATTTATAATGGAAAAAATATATTTTATAATATAAAAAATTAGAAATATTACATATTTTAGTATAATGGTTTTTTTTCTTTTTCTTAATTAGTCCATAATCCTTATTTAAAATATATTTCTTATTTTCTTTTTCATTCTTTTTGTTATTAATGGAATATTACATATTTTAGTTAAACATTTTTTTTTCTTAATTAGTCCATAATCCTTATTTAGAATATATTCCATATTTTCTTTTTATTTTTTTTTATGTTAATATTGACACGTATCACAATTTAAATTAACAATTACACATGTCATGATCTCGTGTATAAGAATTTTGTTTACGTGTCATGTTCTCATTGTGCGCATTCTCCTT